AACCCTATATATCCCCCAAAAAGGTCCCCCCCAATCTAAATTTCGTCCTCAAAATTCTGGGCCCCTTTTGGTTATAGATCGTATTACGGCACCCTAATTTGGGGAACTACCCATCCACGGTTTCTGTGAGGCCTGAAGTAGAGCCGCAGAATGGTCACCCTTTGTTTCCATTCGCGGCCGAGCCCAAAACCCTAGAACCCTAACTCACGAGCCAAGTAAGCATAGCCCAGCAGCGGAGTAGCACCCGCATGGTGATAGGCCAGAGTCGTCAACTTTGAAGAACCCCATCGATGTTGGAGACTAAAGATCTTGAAAACCTTTCTGCAAGGTTAAGGGTTTACGGGCTTTAGGAGGTAAGATTTTCCAGCTGGGGGCTCTCAGCAACTCAAAACTGGCACTTGGATAATATCTTAGTTACCTAGACGTGGACAAGCGATCTTTCAAACCCATCCTTCTTCTGCATAGCTTGGACTCTGTGAAGGTGTATGGCTCTCTCAGAAGAATGGGATTATGAAGCCTCTGCTGCTCCGACTCCCAATTTACACATATGTGAGCCCTCGTCTACTCTCCTAGCATCCTTAAGACGCCTTATCATACTCCCATATATATGCGTCCGCGCTCCGCGTTCCCACCCCCGGCCCCCCCCCTCCCTAGCCCGCGAACACCGATGGGGCCCCGCGAGGTCGCCATCCTCGTAACTGTCGTAACTTTTGGACCTATGTGTCGTCGTAGCATCTCAAAACTGCTAACAGTCACAGGGATGAGGGTGGTCCTCATCGCTGTCTTCGCAACTGTCATCGCTTTTTGACACCTCATATTGTTGTCTCAGTTTTAACATGCTCACGGTCACGGATCGGCTTGGTAGTCATCTTGCATAAACCTTCTGCAATCCTTTGTAAAAACCTTCTTGAAATTCTCTATGAACCGTTCAAAACCCTCTAGAAACTGTTATAAGCCCTCTACAAACCCTCGTAAACCTAAGGTGAACCACGAGACCCAGACCAGAGGCCACAGGACCACAGGGGGGGCGGAAGAGTTTATGAACCCTCTACAAACATTATAAACCTTCTCTGAACATTAATTTAGACCACCAGGCCCAGACCACAGGCCACAGGGGGGGGGGGAAGAACCCTCTACAAACACTGTAAACCTACTCTAAACCTCAATTTAAACCACAAGACCCAGACCAGAGGCCACAGGACCACAGGGGGGAAGAGCTTCTGAACCCTCTACTACTTGACATTCCCATCTATCCTTTGGGTTCTATTGTTTCAAGAAACCCCGCATCCCCAGAGCCTGAAGCCCTAAACGCTGAACCCCTACCCCCTATCCCTGAGCCCTTAGACACCCCAAATCCACAAAGCATCAAACTTAAACCTTAGATTATACCTTTTTTAGCAAGTTAATTGTGCTTGGTCCATGAGGAACTGCCCACCAGCCAGGACTGCCTCCCATTGTCACCTTGGCGGGAGGGAAAACCTCTCCGGCTTGGGTGGATGGTTGCCACACCTAAGCCCTAAATAGTAGTTTCCATTTTCTTTTCCATTATCCCAGTATAACCCCAATATAACCGTATAATTCCTATATAACCACCACATGATCCCTATAGTTTCCATGTTCTCTTCCGTTATCCTCACATAACCCCAAGCTGGTGCTTCAGCAGCGCTGGTACAAGTAAGTTTGGCTGGCTGACCTATCTGTGTTGGCAAAGATTGGAAGTGTCTGGAAGCTATGCGCCACCATTCTTTCCAGTGCTTTGAATATTCTGGAGGACCTCAATTCTGAGACTGACCCCATTTTCCTTTCACGCTTGGACCGATTTGGTGCCGAAGCACTCCGTTCCAACAACCTGTTCTGACTAGAAACGCGTTTACAACGATTCCTTCAGGAGCCTCAGCCGCAAATTTTTACTGGGTGTGACCCGAAGCTCTTCCTGAATACCAGAAACTACCGATATCATGATGTGCGGCCTCGTACTGCTCGTCCACATCTGCCTTCGCGTTAAGCAAGAGCGAAACCACTTCCTTGAAGGCTTAGTGGATTTTGAGAAGATGATGCATACCATCGCGCACACAGAACACACGCGTGCACAGATGTCTGAATACATATATATATATATGTATCTAGATTTATAGACGCACACATACACATACGCATATGTATATATATATATATATACACAGATGTACACATAGAGGTGCTTACATACATGTCTTTGTATTCGGTATCTCGTTTCAAGACCCATTTGAGCTATAGTCTAAACTCCTAGTATCCCCCTTAATAACCCTTATAGTAGTCCCCTATATAATCCCCTATATAAAGTTTAGGCTATGACTCATTTGGTCCCTAGGCTCTGTGCTGCCCCCGCCGATGACGAAAGCAAAGTGCATGGACTGTGACAGGTTCTGATCGGGTGCCTGCAGCAACATCCCCACTGGTTTAGGGTTTAGGGTTTAGGCTGTGAGATGTCTGTTTGGGTAACCGTTCTGAATATGGTAGTTTCCCTGAATAAGGGGACCCCAATGTAGACCCTAATATACTATAATCCTCATTATGGACCCCCAAGATGGTACCCCTAATTTTAGAAAACTACCATATGTTGCTGACATTAGCCTTTAGGGGAGCCACTTCGCTTATGATGTGGCACAGGCTCAGAATGATCAGAGTTTAGGGTTCAAGATTTCCATTCGGGGTTAGACTTTTCCAGTTCGGGTATTGGGGCTTGGTACTTTCGAACTTTGGTTTTGGGCTGTCAAGTTTTCAAGGGTTAGGGTCTGTGCCTTGCCGGTTGCGAGGCTTTGGGCGCACCCTTGCTGGATGTTGGTGGTGCTACTTAAGTTGGTGGACTGCAGCCAGCTGTCAACGGTAAGATGGCAAAAAAAACCGAACCCCCCAAACTCTAAAACCAGGGCTATATTGGGGAAACCCTATTCATTACTATATAGACCCATTATGGTAGCTTGACTATTTAATCTAAGTTCCTTATCAACAACCCAGAAAGCTCAGCAGGGTTGCGTGGGTTTTGTGTCTGCATCATCCCGCAGCAGCTCATCTGGCCACAACACTTGTCTTCCGCGGTTTCAGGTTCAGAGTGTACAGTTTTTGAAAAGCCCCACTACCGTTAAGACTGCCGTTGTTCTTGTTGTTGCTAACCCCCCCTACCGTTAAGACTGCCGTTGTTCTTGTTGTTGCTGCTGTTGCTATCATCAGTACCATGATTCATGCTCCTTCTCGAAGCGTTGCGACTACAAATTTGCTATCTGGCATGTGTTGCCTGTTGTCACAACTACGGTCCCTTTCGGAATACCCTAGACCCTAAATATTCGGGGCTGCATTGTAATGGGGACCCTAAAGGGGACCATAAGTTGGACAGCCTACGGTATGTATAGCATGCGAATGTATAACGACATGTGGATACACAAAGATGTGTGCACATATCATTGTATATTCATGAAATTATATGTATGCTCACGTTCCAGAGCAAAGATGATGACTTCCCATTACCCCCTCCACCGGCAGGGCCTCACTATTCGGCGAACCCAAACGATCACCATTCTTGGAATTCTGGGTCCATGTTTGGGAGTCACTATGTCAGGATCCGACTGTTCTGGGCAGTATATACTACAGTAGACCTCGTATCCTAAGCCCAGGCGCAAATAGTTGATGAACACCCTAAACCCTAAACCCTTCCCCCTAGACCCTAAACCCTGAATACCCGCATGCCTGCCGCAACATCTCCCGCATGGCGTTGGTGGAGCGGGATGAACAAGCTATTTGGAAAGCCGAGGCCTCCCCATTGGGTGTTTACGGTTTTAGGGGTTCAGGGCCCTAAACCCTAAACCCTAAGCCTAAACCCTAAACCCTAGACCCTAAACCCGGTTTTGTGATGCCTCTTTGGGAGTCATCCTTACGTAGAAGGTGAGGGCTAAGGACTTCGGAGCTGGGGTCCTAAGGTTTGAGTAACCAAGTTTAGCACCAAGGAGTTACATTTTGCGTTCAGAAAATCTTGCTCCACAACTAGACGGAATGTAGGGGATCTCAGCAGATAACATACAACAACTAGTGCACTCAGACACCCTAAGCCCTAAACCCGTTTTGTGATGTAGGCCTCAGGGAAGCCCAGTGCGAGGTGATCTACACCCGCATCGAATAAAATTCGCACGCCTTCGGCCTAGGCCAGGATAGGAATTCAACCAACGGTTTAGGGCTTAGGGTTTAGGGCCTACTGGGTACAGAAGCTGAATTCAATCCAAGCCACTGGCTGCCATGACACAAACACCCTACTCCAGTGGTTGGAGAATGGGAACAACCCTGAAACAAGCGCCAGCCAAGTCACGTTGTCAGAGGAACATGCCCAGTGAAGAGCCGTTTGACGTCGAGAGTCCTTTTTGTTGACGTTCGCCCGAGCTGACAAGAGAACCTTCAGGACATGCAGCCCAGCGCTTGGGAGCTTCAGAGCTTTTATTTTGACTGAGGCTTTCGGGTCTTGGAGTTTTGGGCTCTGGGTCGGAAAAATGTTAGTCTTCAAGGATTTGGGGACAGCATTTGGACTAGGCCACGACCTTCAAGCACTCGTTGTGCCTGCCCCATGCGCACAAGGACAGAACGCTCATGTGCTTCGGAAAGTAGGCCTCCAGGGAAGCTGACGGCATCAGATCCGGCTTACGTGGGTACTTGGCTTGGTTGCCCTAAGGGTCATAGGGAAAGGTCTACAGCACCATTACGATGATTATTATTCCTACGATTATTGTTACTATTGCACCTATTATTACTATTATTGACTAATGCTATTATTTGTTCTATCAGTATTACGATTACTACTGTTATTAAGCTCATTATTACGTCTCTTATGACCACATCATTAAATTACAACCGGAATGTTGCCTGGCAGGACTTCCATTGTTGTTCTTCCAGCGCTCAACTTCCAACTAATTATGATGATTCTCATCGAGGGATGTCGCGCTAATTCGCGCTGCCAGCAAACGCCTACCCCCACAACCCTAAATCCCAAGCACTCTACCACAAGCCCGGAGACTCATGTGCTTTGCCTCTGGCTTGGGTTTTCGAATGCTGTCGTTAGGATCTCCCCGCCGTTTCAGAATGGTGGATACCAGGCTAGGCGTGCCATTCACTGCCGCATAACACAAGAGGGACCACCCAGCTTCATCGCGTTGGGTGATGCTGTCCTGGGATGCCAGGGCTTCTGCAAAGTGCTGGTCCAATTGAACCCCTGGGTGGCCCTAGACATATTGGGGATATATGGGGATAATGGAAAAGAAAATGGAAACTACTATACTGTAATAGGGTACACAGGAATCCTACTAGCAACCCTGCAAAGGTCTAAAACACAAAGGCTCCAAACCAGGGACAAAGTACATGTCAATCGTATCTTGAGACGGCCAAGAGAAACGAAAGTACTGACAAACCGACAGCCCCAGGGCCCTTAGCCCACGACTCTGGACCCTATCTCCCAACTTTCTACCCTGAACCTAGATTCAATTCCGTTCTGGTGCATAAATCTCGCTAGCGCGAACTTGTCCGGATCGGTGAATGGATCGATGTCAGTTTGAAAGCCTGAATCGTTTTTTGGGGGTTCAAGACTGAGCGCTTGGCTCTTGAGGTTGCGTGATTCGGATTTAGCATTGCCATTTCATTGGGCAAAAGCATCAAGCTGTGAATGTGCAATCTTTGCAAATAGTTCTGCATCACTCCACACGACGCAAGCTCGAACCCTACGCAAAATAAAGGCAGGCAAGACACTGCGCCAAGTGCTTGGTTGGAAACGAAGAGGGAAAGGGATAAACAAAAATACACACGCTTCACAGGACTAACTGACAAAAAAAGAGAATAGTTCCATTAAACCTCACCCCGTAAACAATCTTGGCCTCCCACACAAGCCCCTTTGTGAACACTTGCCCCCAATACCTACAGACTGTAGACCATGGCAAGCCCCTGGCCAACCTCTAACCTCTGAGCCCCAAACCTGGGTTGCTGTTAAGGAACTTAAATTAAGTTACCCTAATGGGTATATATATATAGAGTAGTTAAGAGGGTTTCCCCAAGATAGCACTGGGTATATATATATATAGTAGTTAAGAGGGTTTCCGCAAGATAGCAATTCAATTTAAGTTCCTTAACAGCAACCCAGAAAACTCCTACCAATCCTATACTTTTTCGATAGCTCTTTAACCCTACTTGAACCAGTGAGGCAGAACCTGGCACTGCGTCGACGATTGGGTGGATTTCAAAGCCTCGCAGTCGCATCGTCTGCTGGTTCAGGATGAACCTTGCCAGGTTGGTTTAGGGTTTAGCGAGGTGTTTCGGGGCTGCGGTTCATGTGGGGAATGGGGAACCCTGCACACCTTGATGCAAAAGATACATCCCCACGAGTTTCACAATTGCTTTGCGCCCCTTAGCTTGATCAGAGTCGGAGTTGTCCAACAACGCGTTCAGTCATTCCATAACAAATAAGTTTCACGATGATCCGAAACATCCGGCCAGCACTAGGCCACACGGAGGCCCTAAACCCTAAACCCTAGGTCGCTTACTTCGGCTCTGACCACAAAGTTACTACGAAATAGGGTATACATAATATTCACATATCATTAAGGATAATGGAAAAGACAACGGAAAAAACTACATATTGTAATCGAGTATATAGAGAGGCATTATTAGGATTATGGAAAATGGAAGCTACCATATTTTTTAGGGTATATATAAAAGTACAAGGATA